ATTCATGTTTCTTTTTGATGAACTAATATTACCATAGAAGAATCCCAAATGATGGAGACGAATGGCTTCAAAATTAAGTCTATGATATCACTGATGTGTCCTAGACGGACGCAACATCTGTATGATGAAAAGATGTTATTCATTTGTGTGTTTTTTCTACAATCTTTTATGATGTGGGTATTGTATAGTATTTGTCTATGATTTCAAGCTTCAGGAATACACATGTTTATAATGTTAGGAATATAATACAACATAATGACGTTTATGATAAAGTTGTTAGGTATTAATAGCTATGATAGACAGACCTAAAAGTACAACGCTAGAGAGATGATATTATTATCCCCTAATCGGACACGATTGATAGTAATGTAAACAATGATAACCACGGTAGGAAATCCTGATAGCTTTGTAATTAGCCCACTCCAGACGCACTATATATAGCCAATCAGCTCCAGACAGTCAGGGACACCTGATACACAGAAATCTACCCACCAGTTACAAAGTTCACCCATTGGATATGAACTTAGGATAGTCAATAATTTCCATTTCAGTTATCTCGAAACATGAAATCAATATAAGTGACATTTTGATGAAGGTGACAAAAGACAAACATTGTAGAGTCTTTCCTTTTTTCTGAATTATTATGAAAAGGAATCCTTCCACTCTATTTACAAAGTTCTTGACCTTTCGCTAAAAGGATTTCGAATGATTGAATTGTGAAACCTATAAGGAATAATTAATTTCAGTTATCTGAATTTTTTTTTTGCAAAATTTAGTGTGCTTCCAGTGTGTGATTCACCATTAATACTACCTCTATATAGCACTTATCTTATAACCAATGCACAGCTTTGTCTCAAAAGTACACACTTCACATGTTAATAACAAACACAACTCGTCAAAGCAGTCTACATCTTCAATCAAAAAGTAATTTTAGAATATGTACACTCAGTACGTCTGAATAGTCGACATCTGATTTCAAGATTGAATTGTAAGAAACCTACACAAAAAAATACGGAATCACAATTCAGACATAAATTCGATGAAATTAGTGTAGAATATGAACAAAAGAAAAATTAAACGAAGATTTCTAAAACAAATACAACGGAAAGATCCGGAAAGGTAAGCGTCTCCTGCTTCATCGACGACAAATATAGAATAAATAATTTTATTAAGATTATTAAAAATAAGCTTGTACTACATGTACAAATTAACTGTGTGAGCAGTCCACATGTTTGAATAAGTTATCAGTACATACACACGTCATACCGTCCACATCTTTGACAAGGTTTAATTTTACCAGTATATGTTTATGCCCCTGGATCGAAAGATCGGGGACACATTGTTTATGTGCTGCCTGTTTGGCTGTCTGTTGTCAATTTTTAATCTTGCCCATAAATATTGCACCGAATGAGGTCAAGCTTTCATCATGTGACCTCGACCTTTGACCAACATTTGAAAAATTGTACATGCAATTAGCACATACCTTACATAGTTCAGTTTTAATGACCACCTTCAGAATTATGTTGCAACCAGGGCATAGTGTTTCATAAACACTATATTAGTACATGAAAAACATGAATACATCTGAACTGGTTACATTCGAGGTCAAGTTTGAGCAGACCCTCTTTTGTTAAGTTGGACGGACATTTACACGTAATGATATGACTTTTTGAACGCAGCATGATCTCCTTGGTGTGATAATTACAAGCCAGTTGATTATACGCAATATTTACATGAGATACAAACCACACCATATCTCGTAATTTGACCAAGGTTAACATGGCAGGTGTCGACGATGAAACAGAAGACGCTTACTCTTCCGGAACGCCTGGTCTTTTACAGGAATCTCTATGTAAATCTGTCTTTCGTTCATATTTAGCCCTAATTTTATGGATTGTCCGATTTTAGACTTCGAAAGTTTGAAGAAAGGTCAAACGTGTTTGATTTACTTATCACTCTCGTATCTAAAAAAAAAGTTAATCTTATTGATTAACTCTTACTTATTTCTTTGATATTTTAATTAATTGATCACGATTAGTGTTTATTGTGGTAAACATGTTAGTAGTACTTGTGATACTTAATATGTCTGAACAGTCCACATCTTCTGTCAAGGTTGAGTAGTACCGATACAGATTTTTTAATGTTAGTAGTACATGTAATATGTCTGAACAGTCCACATCTTCTGTCAAGGTTGAGTAGTACCGATACAGATCTTTAAATTTTAGTAGTACATGTAATACGTCGGTGGAAGCCATACATATTTTTACAGTTTACAGTGCATTGTGATCTTATACGTCTGAACATTCCACATAAAATTGAATAGTACATACATTTTCCTGTATACTCAGATATTCATTGCACAGTTAACGCGTATATAAATCAATTCCTGTAATAAATTGAATAGACTTCTCGGTGGTGATAAATCTATAGAAATAGCACTGGATAAGCCATGTTTTCTCCTTTCTTAACAGGAATTTAAAAAATAATATTATTTTCATATAATAGTTACCACGGAACTTCTGTATAATTATTATTTAATATTTCGCACCTTAAAAGACATCAATTATAGTCTGGCGTGTATAATAGCTTCACCTTACTTGAACTGAACAGAAACAACAATCATTTCTGTGGTAAGAGTTGGTCAAGATGTGTTCATGATTCATTCTTTTCAAAGTAACACTATATAGAGTTTTGTCAAGCTTGAATAGATCAGTGTAGTTTTCAAATCCGATTTTGCTAAGCTAGTTATGTAATATCGTTGTAATAATCAAATTGCAATCCGTATTTGCTGTCAATATCTTATTTATTTTTATTTTTCTAATTTTGGAATAATAAATACTCTGTTCATTCGTGTTTTGAAGTGAAATTTTCCATTAAGCTGCCGACGCCCGTTTAGGACGTGCCATGTATGTATATATATATATATATATTTATGGTGTGATTTGTAATGTTACGTATTCCAAGGCCAGAGGGAGCATTAAAACTGGTTGTCAGTAGGGTGAATAGTTCAGGGACGACGATTTGGCGGCGAGACAGCAAGATAGGTGTCCTCTTTTCCGTTCAAAGTTTATCTTGAGGTAGCACATTAAAAGAGCTGGTGTTACGTGAAAGCTATATCGACTTAAAGGTAGCAAGTACGATTGATTTGAATTATTATCGTTCAAAAAGTTCGTGAATAAATTAATTTGCACATTAAGATATTACACACATCGCCTATTCCCAAAATCAAACTAACAAAAGCAAAACAAACAAACAAAAACACAAAAAGCATATTTTTCAATTTGAAATTTGTTTTCTAAATTTTGTTATCTATCGGATTAGACAATATATTTACAGTTTACAATCATTAGTTATTCTGGGTTTTTGTTATCGGGACGGCTGTTTGATAGCACGTACGACGTTAGAATATATTGGGTATCACGTTTTGAAACGATTGCTATATTTGGCTATACGCTTGTTGTTCGTACATAGGAACGAGGTTCCAAATAAGAAACCAACTCAACATTTAGACTTGCTATAGAAACCATCCTCATGAGGTTCACATCTCCTCCATATATGCCTTATAAACTTTTATGAAATTTAATCCGTAATAATTGCACTAATGACACAAACGATGCAGACAGCAATTAACATCTTCTGAAGGTTTATGCAGTAAAAGTAAGTGACGGATTGTTTTACATAACGTTCATATCATGTAACACTAATTGGCTAGGAAGCTGTTCTTTCTTTTGCATTGCAACGGTGGGCTGTCCATTGTAAGAATTCAATTCATTTAGTGGGTCCGTTTTGTTCAATTTCCATATCAATATCGGTAACAAACTTGTATTACTATCATTAAACTAAAATCTATTACTTTGATATTCATATTAATGAATCACAATTAGTGTCTCTATACGAGAAACACGTAAGAAATCGTCTTAATTCCTCAAGGGTAATGTAGCAGTATTATTCTTAAATATTACTGCATAATTCATAATTCATAAGATATAAAACAGAATGTTATCCAACAAACGGCTGAGATCGATCTCTTTGTTAACTATTTCCATTTACCTTTCAGTAAACTATTTTAGGGACTTCTTCTTTTCATAATGGTGAACGTCTAATTAAGTAATCTGAGTTTAGAGTTTTGAAATAATTATTGAAGCATCATGTCATCTCATGCTTGTTGATAATAATCTAAATATGTCCTGAATTTTTTTGTGTGTTATTGCTGGATAATTGTCCTACTTAATCGTAATCATGTCTATCATCAAATGATCCTTAATGATATACTATGTATATAATGTTATGGATCTACCGTATGTATATACACATATATCTTTCATAAGGTTTATTACCACGATATTTGAAATAATACCACTATTTCTAACTTGTAAAGATACACTAATTTGATTAAGTAATCTAAATCTCAGTAAAACTGTGTATGATTAGGAGTTTTCTAAAGATAGGTTTAAGATTTAGTCCTCACGAAATGAACGATGAGCTCGAACGACAAACCGTAGTGTGGAGTTATTCTTTAACAACATCTCAAAGTTGGTTTCATCTCTCAAAACACAGCATTACTGGAATAGGCCTACATTTACATGACGGGTTCTGTTGATAATGTAGAAACCACATGCCATTTTTTGCACCTGGCTGTGTCGTTCTTGTATCTTTTATGTGGGTTGACTTGTAAATCTCGAATTTGGACGATTTCGTCCTGTTTCACATGCTGTTGTTTCACTTTAAAAATATCTTGTGATTAATACGGGTATCGGATAATATAACATTTTCTTCAAAAATGATTTAACATAGATAAAGTTTGATTTCTTTCTACAAATCGAATAAAGCTGTTGTGGAATTACACCAGACGAAAGTAAAAGTGATTTTTCCATAATGTTTCTCTTCTCAGTGCTGTGTATTTTTAAGTGAACTATGGACAGAAACAGAGGTATGGCATTCTGTAAAGTAAAAACAAATTCTCAATTGAAGTTTTATAACAATACAAAACAGACACAATATGTAAGTATTATTTGATTTATTAACAACTATTATCTGTGAAAAGCAACAGAATATAACAAAGTACAAACTTCAGCGTCTTGCAAACGCTTACGACACATAAATGAACCTTGCTGATGGATAAAACATATGTATGATGAAGTCCTTTCGTTCATCATTCACTGACGTAATTGTCGAACGGTCAATGATCTTATGTTAGGGATGTTTAATATTCTAAGTGTCATTCTTAAAGCTATTAATAATTAGTTAATTTTGAATTGTATTCTTTTTTATCATAACTGAATAAAAATAACAGGAATTATATTTCTGTTATTCACTTAGATCAACATGTCCAGACTTTGATTTATTGAATATTCTTTACGTAATAAATTAATCAAGAGATATTTTTAAAAAAATCTATGTAATCTCTTCAGAACTTTTTTTTCTTGTTAAATTGTTAAAACTCTTAAAACATTTTTTTCGAATGTTCTATACTTAAATATTGCACATCCAACTTACATACACCTGATAATGGAATAGACAGTTTATTTCGACACTTTGCCATCATATAAGTTCTTCCATTGGATACTCGTCGTAGTTCCAAGCATACATGTAAACCTGCAACGACGTGCTTTACTCTCTCGTTGCAAAAGTGTGTGCCATACTTGATTGGTATCACAGTATGTTCGTGTACAAGTTCCTAGTCTGAATCACCTGTAATCACAGGCACAAACTGGCTATCATTAAGCACATTGGAGTACAATATACACGCATCATCGCACAAATCATCGAATCTGACATCGGTTTGATGATATAAGTGTTTTTGAGATTCACGTTTGGTTGTGTCAGCGATTTCTCATCCCTGGGATATGTATTTCGCCGAGCGAACTGAAGATGGTTTCACATTTACTTTGGTCTGGTGTTCAATGTTCCAGAACTGGTAACGCTTCAGTGACGATGAAACTGTAAACACAGATAATAACATTAGAATAATTCTTTATGAGAATACGTTCAATGAAGGGATATGTGGTATGATCATTTTGTGTAAAAATTTCAAACCGAAAAAAAATAGAAGCAAGAAATTAATAAATCTAGATTACTTTTCCTTGGAGTTTTGATATGAAATACTGCACATAATGACCTGCTTTGAGCTACTTTTTCATAAAAATAACCCTTTCTGTTAAAAATGTTTGATGTTAAATTCGTCGACTGTTTACCTGATGATATTATCACTGTTGATGCCTTGCTGATGAACGCCGCCATCAGAAACAGGGTGATGGCATACACGAAGCATGCTAACGTCAGAACCACTGCCTTAATTTCGAACCCCATCCTTGGTTCTACTCTGTTCAGTCGTCTAGCAGCTGGAGACTCCATTTTCATTTGTTAAGTAGGAGTAGGAGGGTGTGTCTTAATTCAGATCAAACAATCTAAAAAATTCAAAATCCACAAAAAAATTAAATAAGGATTTGCCATGATGATACATCTTAACTCGGTTGTATATCAATACTAATAGATTAAGTGAAGAAATGAGATTTAAACATGGATACCTACCAACTAACATTGATGATAAGTATGGTTGAACTGACTAAAGACAGAACAGGTAAAGGTACATATACTTAATGTCATACAGACAGGAAGTGACGTCAGAAAGGCAACGTGCAAACCTCATGTGTATTAGAAATTTTCTAGCGTTATCCGTCTCAAGTTCAAGTTCAAGGTACCTCTGTTATGTGTATCATGAGTGTTATGAATACATAGCATGTGCTTTGTGTCATGCTAACACAACACAGCCTGCCAGAAAAAATTAAGAATTATGGTTGACCTAGGCGTCTCTAAATTGATATCTAAATATATCTGGAACTCAGTAAATGAAATTCATACCTGTAGTATAACTGACATATTTTAATTGATACGAGGTTGGTGTGTCTGTTATAGAAAACCTTGAACAATATTCAAATTATGTCTCTCCCATACTGTGAAGGGTCAGTTAAAATGACGGAGTAGCTTGTGCCAGCTCATACTTTGTGCAAATTACCTTGCATCCGACATACTTATCATGTTTGTTAATTTATCTTGTATTACAGCCCGTACGTCATTTAAATTATTAATTTCTAATAGTGTTATAATTTTAATTAATGCACTGAATACCAAGCATAACTTAAACCTTACATTGTATACACACAGTCAGACTCTGGTTTATTTGCCTGGTGGATTTATCATCCCGTGAACATTCGCTCTGAGAAAACGAAACAAAAATGTAGGATTTTCTCTTCGGGATGCAAAGGTCCGACGCCATATTACCCGAGGTCACTAAAATTAGACTCTCCACTTGCAATGAAGAAAGTTTACTCCGCGATATTTGTGTCCCAACATATATTCCGTCTTCCTGTTATCATAATGATTCAAATCACATGGCTATGTTTCAGCAACAGTTAAAGTTTTTCATCTGTTGAAAATCCTTGGTCTTCGCAATATGCATAAAGTTGAAAATCCATTGTTAAAGATTCTACAGTGGAAATGTCCCAGACTAAAAAGTCAGAAACTATCTAGAGAAACAAAGTGAAAGTTGATAAGCGCTCGAAAAGTAACCATTATGTCGATTGCCCTCTGGAATATTTTTTTTTAATATTTTGATATGCGTGTTTGTCTTTTTATAATTATTGATTTTTTCCTATGTTTTCCTGTTTAACTGATAAACATCCAGATTTATCACGTGATAGGAATTTATTCAAACTCGTGACATCACATTCGTGTCTTGTCTATTTAACGGTGGAGAGATCTTTTGCCTGCTGACTAGAACAGCGATATGTGCAAAGAGGGATAATTTTCGGTGATATTAATTTTTTTTCTCGTCGAATTCATTTAAAATCAACATACTTTTTTTTTCATCTGAAATTGTGACTCGAAAAACTTGACACAAATACTTTCTTTCCAAGGCTGTTTTCAGACAGGAAATCTGCTTTCTCGATCAGACCTAACTTGTCGGTTAGACGTCCTATTAGGATTGTACAGTAGATACACAAGTGCATTCAATACGACTTTAGAATCAGGAACAATATAAAGCCAAACAATGAATGAAATTGTTTGTAGTTGTTTTCGCCCTCCAGGACTTTTAAGCAATATGTATGCCTACAGAGGTGGCAAAACTAATTGCAAAGCATCTGATGATTTGATATAAGAGCGCTTTTGCTTTTGATATAATTACTTATTACAGAAGTTTTTTTCCTATTTGATCATTTTTCTATGTACTGGTCACTGCAAATTTTAACTTTCTTATATATATATATATAGAAACTGTCTCAAAACTGAACACGGACGACGTAAATTTCGGGTATTCGAAAAACAAAATTCAGTTTGGTATTTCGTTGGAACCGTGGAGGGGAGAATTCTATCCATCGGCGACCGCCAGGAAACGTACAACAGACATGTTACCACTACAAAAATCCTGGTTACAGCAAACGTGTGATTTGTTTCTCGTGTGTTTTAAATCAAAACATAGATAGTAAGTTTAATACAATTTATTAACAACGTTTCTCTGTGAAAAACAACAGAATATAACAATGTACAAAATTCAACATCCATATCGCTCATTCTCCACATCTAAACACACATTTATCTTAATCACTACATTATAAAATTGTGATTTAGTGTACAAGAACTCTCAACATCCTTGAAGAATGTTAAGATATCTTTAAACATATACTTAAGATATATCTTGCACAGTCTCTCTGAATATATTAAGCTTTATATTCTGAAAAATGAAAGCACGCAATGGGTGAAATATTTTTCATCACTTTCTACTAACTTGAAATGACTTCTTAAAATTGTTTATATAATTTTCTCTCACGCGCTCAAATTTACAACTAGAAATCAATATTTACATTTATTTATTCTAGACGGATTAACAAGAGAGATCAAAACATATGAAGTCTCTCAAGACCGCATGTTCTTACTTACTCTCCCTAGCCTTGCTCAGATACCATTCACGATCACACATATTAGTCATCCTCTCTGTCAATTTTGCAATTCTGACAGATTTTTTCATACTATTTAACTGTCTGTGAATGCCTTTCGACGTTGGTCCATCGTAAGCCTTGGGTGAACTTAGTTTTAAGCAGTATGGTAGACATGTAACTTCCAAACTCTGCTGTGAAGTCTTGGCATTGACATTGTACATTGGACGAGAAATTAACAACCTGCTTATTTAGCATTTGCTTCGAATTCTACCAGTGGCAACCGCAATCTGTTGAAAATCTGTCCAGTCCATATACCATATATTCGGCGTAATGACAAAACTGGTCGATCGATTATGCACATAATCGCCCAAATCATTATAACGGTTAGTCATCTGCTTGATGACATCAGTGTTTTTGAGATTCGCGTTTGGTTGTGTCAGCGATTTCTCAACCCTGGTTCACGTGTTTCGCTGAGCGAACTGTGGATGGTTTCATGTCTACTTTGGTCTGGTGTTCAATGTTCCAGAACTGGTACCGCTTCAGTGATGAGGAAACTGTAAACACAGAAAATAACATCATAATCATCATTTTTAAAAATACATATTTGAAGCGGTAATACTTAATTGGCGTTTTATCTTTTATCAAGTTAAAAATGAAATTACAAGAAGTATGAAAAAATAATTTACATGTTTAAATCAATAATTATCGGTTTGTTTTAACCAAAACACTATAAACATACTATCAATTAAAACATATCTTAGGCTGACAGGTCTGTTTATTTATTTCATTATGTACAATTCTTTCGTTCATAATTCTGAACAGCTGGAATCTTACCTGATTCCATGGCTGAAGCTGATGCCTTGCTGATGAACGCTGCTGTCAGAAATACGACGATGGCATAGAAAATGCACGCTGATGTTAAAACAATGGTTTTCAGTTCGAATCCCGCCTTGGACTCCAACCTTTCAATTCGTCTTTGAACTGAAGCCTCCATTTTAGATATGTGTACAAACGTAGAATAGAAACGAAGAAATCTGAAAAATATAAAAATTTAAGAAAAATTAGCATCAGCGATTTAAAACAAATATTTAAGTTCTTATCATGAAGATTTGATTATGTTCGTTATATGTATGTACAACGAATTGATAGACACCTACCCACACGATGACAGATACCACGATTATGACTACAGATATAGAGAATCCAGTAGATATATAATATAGGTGGTGACGTCACCGGGGCTGGGTACAAACTTCGATCATTTATATCGGGAATTAAATTTCATGGTTAAAAGTTCAAAGTACATCGAATACATGTGTCGTGTGTACTATTACACAGAATGGAAATTCGTCCAACAATGACAATACAGTGTTAATTACTTCATTCGTTTAAATTATTATTATAAATTAGATAGAGCACTAATTGTACGCATAGTATTAAGTATATATATTGGTAAACTGACGTCAGATTTAATGAAAGATATATATATATATATATTATAAATATTGCTTTATCTTTTTTAAATTCAGTGATATAGTGTAGGAGCCTAGCAGATTTTAAAATACATTGATGATTTTTTTGAAGATATTTCATATTTGATCACATGAAATATAAATAATTAATTCAAATATTTAATTAAGTCAAATTTACAGTAAAATTCTCATGACGACAACAATATCACACGAGTTAATGATTTATAAGGTTGACAGAAAAAAATATGATAGTAAAATCAAAACCACGATGACGCAGATCAAGAAAACTGATGATTTAAACAGGTAACTGAAAAATAATGAAAGTCCTAACTTTCAAAGCAAGATCACGAGAGTTGATAAATAGCGACCTGTAGTTGTAAGACTTACCAGTTATAGAAATATGTACTATTATTAATCCTTTGGACCAGGGCAGACTGACCGTGTTCATTTATCTGTCTAGTAGACGATAATGTTTGATTTTTGGAACCCAGACTATTTATAAGTACGAAAAGTTTACCTATAGCTGTACTGGTACATATGATCACGCCGTGCAGTGTTGCACGGCACGCTTGTATATATATACACACGTGTTCGGTCTGGATTCATAATACCTCGACTGACAAATTGATTTCACGAGTCGGTCTGGTGTCTTTTGGTTTTTTTTCCTTTAAACAGTGACTTGGGAGGCAACCCACTATAATTTACCAAAACATTCTGTATATTTTGACTTTCAATATTCGCCTTAAACCACACTTTCAGTAATTTTTATAAATGAAATTATACAGTTTTGAAAATATATTGGAAAGATAAGTTGCTTGTATTTCTGAGTAAGCTAACTAGCCACTGGCAATTTGGCTTAGCCGGAGTAACTATATCTTTATAAACAGATCCGCGAGAAGTCAAGGTCAACCACGGATAATAACAGCACGTGATTAGTTCGAGGTATCGACTTGCTAGTGTTTGTACAGACATGAATGTGTGAAAAGCACAAGTTGTAATAAATCGTTGTCGACAAATGTATATATCTTGATATATACTGACTATCTCTGATTAATAATGCTTCACACATACAGTGTAATAAACACATATTACGTTGTCAACGAAAACTAATTATCATGTAATAACGTGACGTCATCTGTCATAAATAACTGACAAAATGTGACAAATAAACATACGGGTATTTTGTCAGGGA